AATGCGCATTTTTTGTACATAGTTGCTACAGAGATCATTCTCAAAGTTTGCAGTTCCTCGGGCATCCCATAAACCCCTAGACCACATCCAAGCTCTAAACTCCTTAATAAAATCACAAAACCAAACTCAAGGACTGTTTACTGACTTCATCGTGCAAAGCGTGGAAGAAAATGCATGTTGCCTGTCTTTGCAGAGCTTTAGGGGGACCCAAAAACCAGGAGCCCATAAGGAAAGAGTGCTACATGAAGATAGAAGGGGACAAAATACACAGCAGACTCCTTAGGTAAGATATGGGAAAATATTTTTTTTTACATTTTGGCCATTTTTTTTTTCAGTTATGACTAGTGGGGACTTTTGGTCTGAGACATGTTTGGACTGTGCCAGTAACCATTCTAGACACCTTTGGATGATACTTCTCTAACACATTTTAGAATCAAAGGTACATATTTGTGACCAATGTCCCAAAAGAAAACTAGTGCAGCCACCACATCAAATAAGCTACAATATATTATGTTTATGCTCTTGGCTTTAGATTTAGGTTTTAGGACTATTCAGTGATCTAATCTTTAATGTTTGTGAGTTTTTTTCTATGGAGCTCCGAAGTGCAGTGCTTCTTGAACCTTATGAACAAGAAAAGTGAACCATGGAATCACAGCACACAAAAAAGTGCACAAGCGTACATCAATGGCCATCCTCCGAATAGGAAGGACCTCAAACCCTGAACCTCCCAGATGCAAGGTTTCAGACATTGGCAAAGCACTCTATGCTCTACCTAGTCCAAAGCCTGATGGCTCCTTAGGCTTCATGTACACAAGGAGCTGCTAAACTCGAGTTTAGCAGCTTTTGGCATTTTTTTTTGCCAACTCAACTCCATAAAAGCCTATGTGTCCATGTCAGGGGCGGACTGACAACTCATGGGGCCCCTGGGCAATAGGGGATCATGGGGCCCCTGTGTCCTTGCCCAAACTCAAAAAAGCCTATGAAAAAGATACCAGGGGCATCTCATGGGGCCCCCTACTGAACCCGGGCAGTGCCGACTTTCCAAATGGTCAGTCCACCCCTGGTCCATGTACACATGTGAAAGTGCCCGGGATTAATAGAGAAAATAAAAAAGGTAACATGTATGTAAACACATATTTTTCTAACGTTTTGGATAGAGTAGGGAGGGGTAAAGGTACCTGTCATGTTTTCTGTTTTGATGTGTGTTTCCAGTTGGAGAGATTTTCATTCATGCAAAAAGTAAGAGGAGATCTCTCCAACGTGAGAGGATATCCACTCTCAGACAGATGTAACCAGGTTTCCCCAAGATAAAATTTCCCCTCACCTCCTGTTCCTATGACACCTCAAAAATTTTGACTGTGTATTCACTTTCTATACTGGAGACAATGTTCACCAACTGTGAGAGTGAATCTCCCCAGGGAGAACAGAGACAGCAAATAACATCTGCCAGAGGTTCTAACCTTTCCACATTCTATCCAAAAAGGAGGTAAGAAGCTTTGGCTCTACGTATACTTTCAAACTTTCATTGCTTGTACATGTATATATGTGGAAACCTTTTTACAGACTATGGAGGAAACAAACAACCAGGATATCCCAACCATCCCTCTAGAGCAAAGGTGTCAAACTCAATTTCATCGCGGGCCACATCAGCAGTATGGTTGCTCTAAGAAGGCCGGTTGTATCTAGGGTGCGCTATGCAAAGAGTGCAGAGTTCAGGAGTGTTACCTACAGTGTGCAGAGTTCAGGAGTGTGCAACATACAGAGTGCAGAGTTCAGGAGTGTGCAACATACAGAGTGCAGAGTTCAGGAGTGTGCAACATACAGTGTGCAGAGTTCAGGAGTGTGCAACATACAGTGTGCAGAGTTCAGGAGTGTGCAACATACAGAGTGCAGAGTTCAGGAGTGTGCAACATACAGAGTGCAGAGTTCAGGAGTGTGCAACATACAGAGTGCAGAGTTCAGGAGTGTGCAACATACGGAGTGCAGAGTTCAGGAGTGTGCAACATACAGAGTGCAGAGTTCAGGAGTGTGCAACATACAGTGTGCAGAGTTCAGGAGTGTGCAACATACAGTGTGCAGAGTTCAGGAGTGTGCAACATACAGAGTGCAGAGTTCAGGAGTGTGCAACATACGGAGTGCAGAGTTCAGGAGTGTGCAACATACGGAGTGCAGAGTTCAGGAGTGTGCAACATACAGTGTGCAGAGTTCAGGAGTGTGCAACATACGGAGTGCAGAGTTCAGGAGTGTGCAACAAACAGAGTGCAGAGTTTGGGAGTGTGCTGTGTACAGAGTTCAGGACTGTGCTAGGTGCAGAGCAAAGAGTTCAGGTGTGCGCTGTGCTCAGAGTGTAGAGTTCATGAATGCCTTATGTACAGAGTGCAGAGGTCAGGGGTGTGCTGTGTACAAAGTGCAGAGTTCAGGAGTGCGCCATGCCCAGAGTGTAGAAATCAGGCATGCGCTATGTACAGAGTGCAGGGTTCAGGAGTGTGTTATGTACAGACTGCAGAATTTAGGCATGTGCTGTGTACAGAGTTAAGGCGTGTGCTGTGTACAGAGTTCAGGGGTGTGCTGTGTACAGAGTGCAGAGTTCAGGGGTGTGCTGTGTACAGAGTGCAGAGTTCAGGGGTGTGCTGTGTACAGTGTGCAGAATTCAGGGGTGTGCTGTGTACAGAGGTCAGGGGTGTGCTATGTACAGAGTGCAGAATTCGGGGGTGTGCTGTGTACAGAGGTCAGGGGTGTGCTGTGTACAGAGTGCATAATTCAGGGGTGTGCTGTGTACAGAGGTCAGGGGTGTGCTGTGTATAGAGTGCAGAGTTCAGGGCTGTGCTGTGTACAGACTTCAGGGGTGTTTTGTGTACAGAGTTCAGGGGTGTTATGTGTACAGAGTTCAGGGGTGTTTTGTTTACAGAGTTCAGGGTGTGCTGTGTACAGAGTTCAGGGGGTGTGCTGTGTACAGAGTTCACGGGGGTGTGCTGTGTACAGAGTGCAGAATTCAGGGGTGTGCTGTGTACAGAGGTCAGGGGTGTGCTGTGTACAGAGGTGTGCTGTGTATAGAGTGCAGAGTTCAGGGCTGTGCTGTGTACAGAGTTCAGGGGTGTTTTGTTTACAGAGTTCAGGGCTGTGCTGTGTACAGAGTTCAGGGGTGTTTTGTGTACAGAGTTCAGGGGTGTTTTGTGTACAGAGTTCAGGGGTGTTTTGTTTACAGTGTTCAGGGTGTGCTGTGTACAGAGTTCAGGGGTGTGCTGTGTACAGAGTGCAGAATTCAGGGGTGTGCTGTGTACAGAGTGCAGAATTCAGGGGTGTGCTGTGTACAGACTGCAGAGTTTAGGGGTGCACTATGTACAGTGTGCAACCTCGACCCCCAAATCTTCCCCACATCTCTCTATCCTACCTGGCCCATCTTTACTAACTCCCTGTGTAGGCAGCTCTGCCTTGCCTTGCAGGGAGATTGTTCTCTCTCTCAGATTCTGGAGATCAGTCCCCGCCATGCCTCATTGTGTGTGTGTGGGGATCTATCAGTTTTGGTTGCCACTGAAAGCAAAGCTGTCTCTTGTAAGCACAGAAGGATTCTGTGTTTACAAGTGACAGTGGGGAGCAGGAGCAGAGGGTGAGAGCCAGAGGTGGCAGAATGGAGTTCTGGCTTCAAAACTGGGAGCAGGGGCCACATAACAAGGCTCGGTGGGTTGGATTCGGCCCATGGACCTTGTGTTTGACATATGTGCTCTAGAGGGCACAACCAGGGAAGGTTTTTCAAATTTGAGTAGTGTCCGTACCCCTGTAGTCACTTCCCATTGGACTGCAGCTGACTGAAATGGCTGCAACTAATTTGAAGAATGTAGGTAAGTGCAGCAGTCAGGGGCGGACTGACCATTTGGAAACTCGGCACTGCCCGAGAGCCCAGGGTCAGTAGGGGGCCCCATGAGATGCCCCTGGTACCTTTTTCATAGGCTTTTTTGAGTTTGGGCAAGGGCACAGGGGCCCCATGATCCCCTATTGCCCGGGGGCCCCATGAGTTGTCAGTCCGCCCTTGCTGTGGGATATCTTATCAGTGAATGCTAGGGTGGCCATATGTGGGGTGATGTCTTGTACAAGTCACATGCCATTGACCGTTCTGTGGTTTGGCCAACTGGGCCAATAGGTGTTTGCAGCGCATGCGTGTTTGGGCATGGACACAGGGGCCTCATGATCCCCTATTGCCCGGGGGCCCCATGAGTTGTCAGTCTGCCCCTGGCAGCAGTACAGCATTTTGCTCTTATTTCTAGCTCCTTTAGCAATGGAGGTGAGGAGTTTCTATCTTGGTAGGGTAAGGGAAAAGCTAGACATTGAAGAAAGTTGCCCCTGTAATGTTGCAATGCCTCATGGGAAGTGTAGTTCCACAACAGCTAGAGAGCCACAGGTTGCCTACCCCTGGGTTATGTCAATTCAGCAGGCAGGTTGGGAAGCCTAGACGGAGTGCTGCTAACACCCATTGTCCAAGTCGGACAAACAGCCCTGATGGCATGTGACTTGTACAAGACATTTGCCCACGTATGGCCACCCTAGCATGCACTGCTAAGATTTCCTGCAGTCAATTGATCGCAATTGCTAATACAACAAAAAAGTCTACAGATCCATTCAAGCAGAGGTCTTCCTTGTCTTCCTTTAATTGTCTTGGCAATTTTCCTTTGGCCCAAATTGGGATTTTACACAAGATCTATAGAGGCACGTTGTTGGTCACCATGTGTGACCTGTGAGTCGATGTGCCGGACAGGCTTTCACTAAGTGCATTTTGCATGAGCTCTGCAATAGATTGTCTCACTTTATCCTTCATATCCTTCCCCATGAAAACGTAGAGTATTGGGTTGATGCAACTATTGAACAGGGCCAGAGACTGAGAGAGAAAGTCAAGGATGTCCACTACTTCATTTTGAGAGAAGATCAGGATTACACCCGTGGTGTGGTAGGGGGCCCAGGTGATGAAAAATGCGGCTATGATCCCTAAGGACACCTTGATGATTTTATTACCAACTTCTGAAAATCTTCTGTTTTGTAATATAAAAGCCACAGAAATATAACACATAGAAATGATTAAGAATGGAAGCAGAAAACCAAAAAACCATATAGATGTAAGTGGTGGGCTCTATTACGTGCGCTTCGGAATAGCATTGAGCTGTGTTATTAGGAGTGGAGAAAGTTCTGTACAGGAACTTAGGTAGACATAAGACAGAGGACAACAGCCAAATAGCCAAGCATGTCATCCACGTAGTTCGTAGGCCTCTGTGATTTCGGGCCCAAATGGGTTGAACAACCAGGATGCAACGGTCAACGCTGATAGCCACCAAGGTGAAGACGCTGGAGAACATGTTCAAAGCAATGGTGAAGGGTAAAATCTTGCAGAGTGCAGGACCATATATCCAATCTGCGTAGAAGTACTGCGCTATAATGAATGGGAGACACAAGCAGCACATAATATCGGCCACAGCAAGGTTCCAAAACCAAATGGTGGTCATGGTCCACTTCATCTTCACTCCGGTAACCCAAAGCACCAGAGCATTGCCGGGGACACCTACGAGGGTTGTGAAAGATAAAAGCAGGACTGTGAACAAATGCCCATGGCTGTAAAAGATGTGTGGTTCCTTTTCATCACTGACATTTGACATCTTGCTTCCCTGTAAAGGAATTGACAGTTACTAGATGTGTCTGATCATTATTCTATATTTGTTGTTTTAAAGAAGCTGTGGCCATGGATGTCCTCACCAAAGGGTGGGGATGCTGGTGATATCACTAACTTAATAAAGCCATAGGCCATGGCCATACATTGTTCAATGGTATTGTTGGAAAATGCCCATTATACAGTGGATATAAAAAGTCTACACACCCTGCTAAAATCATGATAAATAGGAGTCAGTACACACCTTCCATCATTTAAAGTGCCTCTGATTAACCCCAAATAAAGTTCAGCTGTTCTAGTAGGTCTTTCCTGACATTTTCTTAGTCGCATCCTACAGCAAAAGCCATGGTCCGCAGAGAGCGTCCAAAGCATCACAGGGGTCTCATTGTTAATAGGTATCAGTCAGCAGAAGGGTACAAAAGAATTTCCAAGGCATTAGATATACCATGGAACACAGTGAAGACAGTCATCATCAAGTGGAGAAAATATGGCACAACAGTGACATCACCAAGAACTGGACGTCCCTCCAAAATGAATGAAAACACGAGAAGAAAACTGGTCTGGGAGGCTGCCAAGAGGCCTACAGCAACATTAAAGGAGCTGCAGGAATATCTGGCAAGTACTGGCTGTGTGGTCCATGTGACGCCAATCTCCTGTATTCTTCATATGTCTGGGCGATGGGGTAGAGGGAAAGACGGAAGCCTTTTCTTGGGAAGAAAAACTTCCAAGCCCGGCTAAATTTTGCAAAAACACAACTGAAGTCTCCCAAAAGCATGTGGGAAAATGTGTTCTGGTCTGATGAAACCAAGGTTAATTCCAAAAGATATGTTTGGTGCAAAAACAACACCGCACATCACCAAAAGAACACCATACCCACCGTGAAGCATGGTGGTGGCAGCATCATGCTTTGGGGTTGTTTTCTTCAGCTGGAACTGGGGCCTTAGTCCAGGTAGAGGGAATGATGAACAGTTCCAAATACCAGTCAATATTGGCACAAAACCTTCAGGCTTCTGCTAGAAAGCTGAACATGAAGACGAACTTCATCTTTCAGCATGACAACGACCCAAAGCATACATCCCAATCAACAAAGGAATGGCTTCACCAGAAGATGAAAATTTTGGAATGGTCCAGCCAGAGCCCAGACCTGAATCTGATGGAAAATCTGTGGGGTGATCTGAAGAGGGCTGTGCACAGGAGATGACACCCAATCTGACAGTTTTGGAGTGTTCTTGCAAGGACGAGCGGACAAATATTACTAAATTAAGATGTGCCGTGCTGATAGACTCCTCCCCAAAAAGACTGAGTGCTGGAATCACATCAAAAGGGGCTTCAACAAAGGATTAGTGTAAGGGTGTGCACACTTATGCAACCATATATTTTTATTTTTACTTCCCTCCACCTAAAAGATTTCAGTTTGTTCAACTGCGTTGTACAGTTTATAGGTCACATTAAAGGTAGAAAAAGTTCTGAAACGATTTATCTTTGTCTCATTTTTTTTACATCACAGAAACAGGACATTGTAACAGGGGTGTGAAGACTTTTTACATCCACTGTATACAGAGGCAACAATAAGAGATCAGTACTGCTCAACCATGAGTCACCGAGGAGCTCGGAAAGGAAAATGTCCAGTTGGCAACTCGTTGTCTCCCGATAAGAACACTTCATTGACTACCAGGTAGATAAAACCACTTACATGTTTCAGGTGTCAGGCTTTGGTCAGAACGAGAAGGCCCCTCCCCCCTCTTCTAGCAGAAATCCTCCCCCCTTTCAACAATCCCTCCCCCTTCTAGCTCAAATACTCCTCCCTCCCAAATTACCCCCCGCACAAATCCTCTTACCACCCCCTTCCATCACCACTAGAAATCTACTCCAGTACAATTCTTTGCTAACTGCCCACCCCTTGCAGGTCATATGGTCCCCTAGTGCTAGTTCCTGAAACCCTTGGACAGACCTCAGCACAGCTCAACACATGGGGACATCCCTCTTTCAGGCTCCAGCTACTCTTGTGCATAATACATGTCAGAGCTGAGGAGGAGCCTAGCTTTCCCGAATCTGATGTGTTTTTGGAAATCGCAGGGTTAGGGACCCGGGGAACCTTGCAGGAGATGCAGGGCAGGTGCTCAGGGTCCCGGCACTAGCACACCCCTGCCAGGTGATTATGTATAGTCAAAAAGCTGGAACTTGTTCTGGCACTGGGCTCTGGAACTCGGATCACAGGAATCCAGGAAGGTTGGGATTTATGATTTTGTGCCCCTAAGAATTTGGGGCCCAGGGCAACCGCCCCTGTGGCTCCTCCACTGGTCCCAATACAAACATTACTAACCAAAAACTTCAATGTATCACAAATATCAATTATACTAACCTCAAAATCCAGTGCTCAATAAAGAGGAAAAGTGGTACAGAAACGAGGATGTTTCGAGCTGCTCATAAACCAATCCAGACAAAAATGTGCAAAAGATAAGATCCAAAAAAAAGGGTCCAAAATATCCGAGTATCAATTCACCTCCAAATACCTCAATTAAGATCCAAATGTGAAAAGCAAATGAAATTTTGAAGTGCTTTTAAGCTAAGTTATCAAAAGTATTGAAATCTACAAGAGTATGGCCAGCTTTAGGCTTGACGGGAGGAAGCACTGAATGCAGCAGGCCGCCAGGACCCTGATTTCTAGAAATGGTTCTAAGCAGTCTTCTTTCTGAGAAGTTTTATTCTCTTTGATTTTAGCAAGATTTTAATTGAAAGCTCCAAGAATAGAATATGATGACTTGGGAACAACCCAAGGCAGTGCAAAGCATGCCAACAATAAATCTCATGGATACAAGTGAACACACGTCTGTGGGACAACATCCAGATTTCATTCTCTACCTTCAAACTCCTTCCACCTGTTTCGGGAACATACCTTCTAAGGACAAAAAGACACGCCACCACCACCACCACAAGACGGGAAGATTGCAGGACGTTCATTTTCAGTGTTAAAAAAAAAAGAGAAAATACTACAAAGTATATTCAAGCATATCTGATCACTGCAATAAAAAGCACCTAGAATAACCATGACTCCATGATTCAAATTTTACCTTCACAAAGTGCATAATATACCATTACAATTGTCTTGGAAATTCGCTTTAACGAATTTCTCCTTACCGTGAGTACTCGCAGTTGGATGCGCAGAAATCCCCCATAAAGCTGTGCGAATCTCGCTTACCACGACTGCAGCTAAATTACACGATTCCTGCCCATCCAAATACTTTAGCTCTGTTGAAATGTGGGGGAATTGGAGCTCCGTTACCCAGGAATGATCAAACGACACTCTCAGGATAGTGTTGCAATTCACATAAGGGCCGGTTTCAGACTCAGCTCTCTGTTTTATTAAAAATACACACATGCCCCCCACATGAATAAAGTCAATACCCTCCCACCGAACAATGCAATGGGGAGTGCCTATACACAGGATGTACATTCCAATTGGAGCATAGCCTTTCCTATTATCTATCACTGGTCCTCCCCCATGAGTCTTCTGAGGTCAGCAGACTTCCTCCCCTTCCCCCCCATGAGCCATCTGAGGTCATATTTCCTGTCCTACTAGCTTCTTTTGGTATGTAAATTCTTTGTACAAGCATTCCCTAAAAATATCAGTCTGTACCTGGATGGGCCCGATACGATCTTTATTAAAACACATCCATCAAGATACAGTTTCAAGTTGGTAATGGGTTGTAAGATATGCATAAGCCTACACGTGGAGTTCGTACCGCTTGGCGCCTTGCGTTATGAAGCCCATGTGGTACTATGCTGCTGATATGTGGATACAGGCCCACGGTCTACTGCCAGCGACATTCGCATCGAATGCCGTGGTGGTATACACGCCGGTCTATAAGCGCAGATCTGCCATCTCATCCATTACCAAGCTGAGTACTGTAATACATACATTGTACATGCGCATGGCCCAATTGCAGCCTTTAGAGCTTTAATTAAGCCACACGAGAGACATATGAATAACACGAATATATGACACATTTAAAGTTCGACCAACAATACAAAATTTCCATGACACAATACATATGAAAGGTATCTCTCTATATATACAGGTGAAACTCAAAAAATGAGAATATGGTGCAAAAGCTCATTTATTTCAGTGCAGCAACTTAAAAGGTGAAACTAATATATGAGACTCATTACATGCAAAGCAAGATAGTTCAAGCCGAGATTTGTCATCATTGTGATGATTATGGCTTACAGCTCATGAAAACCCCAAATCCACAATCTCAGAAAATGAGAATCTTGTGAAAAGGTGGAATAATCTCGGCTCAAAGTGTCCCACTCTAATCAGCTCATTCAGCCATAACACCTGCAAAGGGTTCCTGAGCCTTTGAATGGTCTCTCAGTCTGGTTCAGTAGGAATCACAATCATGGGAAAGACTGCTGACCTGACACCATGACTGACACCCTCCATAAGGAGGGAAATCCTCAAAAGGGAATTGCAAAGAAGTTGGATGTTCCCAAAGTGCTGTATCAAAGCACATTAATAGAAAGTTATGTGGAAGGGAAAAGTGTGGAAGAAAAAGGTGCACAAGCAGCAGGGATGACCGCAGCCTGGAGAGGATTGTCAGGAAAAGGCCATTCAAAAGTGTTGGGGACTTTCACAAGGAGTGGACTGAGGCTGGAGTCAGTGCATCAAGAGCCACCACACACAGACGGATCCTGGACATGGGCTTCAAATGTCGTATTCCTCTTGTCAAGCCGCTCCTGAACAACAAACAACATCAGAAGCGTCTTACCTGGGCTAAAGAAAAACAGACCTGGTCTGTTGCTCAGTGGTCCAAAGTCCTCTTTTCTGATGAGAGCAAC